TAGGAGTTTCGATACAAACTCATACACACAGCAGGTTAACTTTTAAGGTTGTGACAGTGCAATAACCAATCCCTCTACGATCGATTATTCGTTTTAAGATAAACCAGTACACTGGTACCCAGAGAGTCGAAACCGCCATCAGCTTGCTTCTAAGCAATCTTCAAAAAAACAAAAAAAGCCGGCCAGAGCCTTGCTAGCGACTGATTGCTGCTTCAATTGCCACTTCTGCCTCTCACAGTGAGAATACACCGATGTTCAACCCGTCTCAGCATGAAAAAAAAAGAAATTTTTTCACAAAAAACCCATATTAGAGGGTCAAGAACTGTACCTGATGCCACAACTGTGGTAAATTTGGAACCGAAATAGCCATCGCTGCAAAAATTCGTCACATTCCGATACTTATTCTGCAGCCAACCAGCTGTGATGCATTCTTGTGCAGTGAGGAAGAAGGAATCCTAAACAGAAAGACATTATGCAAATTTGACTGATTTCAACCACATTTTTCATAGATTTAACAAACGGATTGGAAATTAGTGACAAAAAATGCGAACATACAGACAGAGATACGCACACACACGCATGCACACACAAATACACACGCACGCATGCACACACACGCATGCACACACACATACACACGCACACATGCACACACACACACACACACACAGACAGCTTCATATACACACAGACAACTTCTTGCCAATATGCGTTTTGAATCCTATGCAAATTTGACTGATTTCAACCACATTTTTCATAGATTTAACAAACGAGTTGAAAATTGGTAACAAAAAGTGCGAACACACAGGCGGAGACAGACAGACAGACAGACACATACACGCACACTTAAAAAAACACGTACACACATACACACACCCACACAGACAGCCTCTTGCCAATATGCACTTTTCCTGCATTTGCAAAAATGCAAAAACGCACAAAAAGTTTCTCAACTGAACATTTTTATTCATTAAAAACAAGCCTGAAAAGGGAGGGAGAGAGAGATGGCGGAAGCCGTATTGTAAGAATGAGAGACAACAGATGAACAAAGCGAATTAAGGAAGATTACCGAGAATATAACGGAGATCAAGGAAGATCTAACCAAACATATGTGCAAAATTATATGAATAAAAGTGACTCGAAACGGAGAAGAATGGAGAAATTGCCAGCTGCATCGATAGCATCAGGAGAAAAGGGACAACGAAAGCAGCAATTGGTTAAATTATTAAAAATATGAAAAAAAAAACCTTGTTTCGCGTACAATGAACTGTGCCTTTTGATGAGTCTGCTGACCATAAATCTGTAAAAATCCAACCAACACGTTTCAGGCCCAGAAAAGAGCAAAGTTCATCCACCAATTCCTCCTGTGGATCGTCTTCCAATGTCAACGAATCTGCTGAAGATGACTGAAATGCAAAAATTATGCTTCAAACAACAAAACCAACGAAACAGGAGTATGAAGAAATAGATTTCTAACCTGTGGTGGTTCATAAATCGCTGCAACAGTTGCTTTTATACCCAGTGGTACTTCCGGGAAAAGCTCATAGCGACCGATCATAAAACCGGCACGT